GCATCGAAGCATACGACCAGATCCACCTGGTGTTAGTGGGATGGCAGGGAACCAAGAGATAAGGGGAGATGGCAAGGGAAAAGGGATCAGTGGGGCGGGGTCGAGATGTTCAGGAGACGAAGTGAAGTAAGAATACAACGCCGCACAGATCACCTTTAGTTTCAACCCACCTGGGATATGCCCAACCCACCAGGGATATGCCAAACCAACAGCGAAGATTCCACCAAATCTTTCAGCCACCAATAGTGTGGTAGGAGCGATAAGAAGTGGCATTGCATCCGCAATGCACAACCCACACCCACCCACCTGGGATATATCCAGCCCCTCCTCTCCAATGGTTGTGGAGACAAGCACATTGTACGTTCCTGCTTTGAAGCCCTGGTGGGGGAGAAACGAGTGGGACGAGAGAAGTGAGTGGGATGAGCGACACGAGTGGGACGAGGGGGAACAAGAGACAGCAGAGGAACGATAAAGAGGGTGGTTATGGGAGGAACAAGAAGAAGCCATGGCTTTGAGACACTCACATCACCACCAACCAGCTGCTTGTATCAAATTTGAGAATTTCCACAAGTGACACAAGTGACACGAGTAAAGCTGTGGGCTTGAGACACTCACATCCAGCACCGCCTGCTGCTGCTTGTATCACTTTTGAAAATTCTCAACAATAATTCAAGTAAAGCTGTAGGCTTAGACACTCACATCCAGCACCGCCTGCTGCTGCTTCTGTGACTGACCCATCAACCGCTTCCTCACTTCCATATCACCCCCTTCCTCCTCCTCCCCTGCTTCTTCCTCCCCCTCGTCCCCTTCCACTTCCGCCTTCTCTTGTTCCTCTTGCCCACTCCCCTCTCCTAAAACCTCTCCCTCAGCGTCCCATCCCTCCTCCCCATCCTCCTCCCCGCACACACCCTTCACCACACCGCCATCAGCATTACCTTGCCCTCCCCTCCTTACACCCCGACTTCCGTTCAAACCATCCAGAGCTGCTCCTCCCCCAATCCCTCGCCCACTCCCCTTTTCCCCCATCCTCCCTCCCATTCCCCCTCCCATTCCCCCGCGCCCTTCCCCACGCCCTCCCCTTCCCCCTCCCCTTGCTCCTATTCGTGGACGCCCCTTGGCGCGCGCAGACCCCTTGGGCCGGTTCTGAAGCAAGTCTGCTCCTGCAGTGCAGCAGGGAGAGGGTTACTATGTTACCTTGCTGGCTGCTGAGAGATAGTCAACTTGCCAGCTGCTGAGAAAGAGGGGGAAGGGAACTTGACACTTGCAAAACAGAGATGAGTGAACGACTGCAAGAGAGAGATATGCATTGAGCACCGTACCGTACGTAGGCTGTACCGTACGTACCTGGGCTTTGCCCGATGAACTGCTTCACTCGCAGCAACGGCTCATGCTGCGATAGGCACTCCACGATCTCCCTGCGTCCACGTTCAATGAACATCAGACATAGATGGATAGGCCGAATGATGGCAATGTGCTTTACAAATACAGGCCGAATGTCTCAAAACCACATCACAGAAACAGGCTTCGATGCACAGGTAGGTGGTGACCTCTTCAAAGGTGCATCAATAAAATCTGCCTCGAAAATCATGTTGGTTGGATTAACATGCCAAAGATGCTCCAACACAGTGCCCTCACGATAACATCTCTGCATAACAATCTCTCCCAGAGCGATGAATGAATGACTCGCTCACCATTATCGCCCATTGCATGCACGCTACAGTCAAGTCAAACTGCTTGCATACACTGTCTGTCCTGTAGCCATTCAATGCAGCTCATAGCTCAAAAACACACACACGCACGCGCGCACCCCATCTACTACTCCGATAATCCACTACCTTTAAAGTCACACCCGCTACACTCACACCTGCTACAGTCACACCCGCTACAGTCACACCTGCTACAGTCACTCACTGCACACTGTCCCGAAAGGTGGAGAAGATGATGGCCCTCGTGTCACCTGTGCTGCGCTGCTGGGCTGCATGGGTGGATGGAGAGAAAAAAGAAAGGGGAGAAGTCACGGGAGGGCAGGAGGGGATGACTGAGGAGGCCGCTTATACAATCACTCACTCACTGCTCTTCGTGTTCTGAGGTAATATGGCACTATCTTAAAAAGGTGGACAAGATGATGGCCTGTGCTGCGCTGCTGGGCTGCATGGGTGGAGGGGGATGAGACGGGCGAGAAATGGGGATGAGATGGGCGAGACGAAGCAGGGGCCAGGAGAGGATCACTGAGGAGGCAGCACACTGTCTCGAAAGGTGGACAAGATGATGGCCTTGTGCCACCTGTGCTGCGCTGCTGGGCTGGGGGTGTTGGGTGGAGGGACGAACGGGAGAGAGGAAAAGAAGCGAGGGGGGGGGAGAAAGGGATAATTGGCCTGGTGGTGTGGTGGCATCTGCCCTGAGCTGCAGGTGAGTATGCAGCGGCAGCCCCCTGCTGCTCAGTGCCCAGGTGAGTATGCAGCGGCAGCCCAGATGAGCAGATGCCCAGGTGAGTATGCAGCAGCAGCCCAGATGAGCAGATGCCCAGGTGAGTATGCAGCGGCAGCCCAGATGAGCAGATGCCCAGGTGAGTATGCAGCGGCAGCCCAGATGAGCAGATGCCCAGGTGAGTATGCAGCAGCAGCCCCCTGCTGCTCAGTGCTGCGGAAGCATCAAACAACGAAGGGACAAACAGCAGCAGCACTCACCAAGCTCACCCACCCTCACTGAAGTGCAGCAGCGTGGCAAGCGCACACGCGCATCCACACACACCCACCATCCCTGAAGTGCAGCAGCAGCAGCTTCTCCAACTCCACCAGCTTCGATTCATCTCAAAGATCAATGCTTTGAATTGAAGCGTCTCACGAATCAACATTTCGAGACGCAAGAACCTTACCCACCAACTCCCACCAACACCCACCAACACCCACCAACACCCACCATCACCCACCGACACCCACCATCACCCACCCTCCCTGAAGTGCAGCAGCAGCAGCTTCTCCAACTCCACCAGCTTCGGGGAGATGGCAGCCGCTGCAGCGGACGAGGGCCCAACCCTGGCAGCTGACGTGGAAGCTGATGACATGGCACCGCCCTGCCTTCCCTTGCTGACCTTTCCCCCCTCGCCCCCTCCCACAGTGCGACGCATGATCGTCAACGCCTTGTGCATGTTCTGTTCCCTCACCACTGCTGCCAGGGGCCTGCGGGGGAGGAGAGGGGAAGGGCAAGAGAGGACACGAGTGCTGTGCGGGGTGCGGAAGGTGTAGAATGGAAAGTAATGAGAGGTGGATCTGAAGGGACGTGGCATGATGGGTCGATCTTTGAGTCGACTAAAAAATCGACTCATCACACACGGAAGGTGTAGAGTGGAAAGTAATGAGAGGCGGGTCTGAAGGGACGTGGCATGATGGTCAATGCCTTCTGCTTGTTCTCACACTCACTCACCTGCTCCTCTCAATCACGTGCAGTGCTGAGCGCATGCCATGCGACATGAGCCTCTCTAAAGCAGCACCCACGGCCTCTGCCCGTGACCACCACATCTGCCCCGCCGCCTCCCTGCCACCCATCGGCGCCGTCCCAAAGCCCCGCGCTGCTGCCTCCTGCTGCCGGCTGATCTCCCGCTGCTCCTGGATCATGCGCAGCTGGTGGGACGACACCATCTGCGGGGGGATGTAACGGCAGGGGACAGAAATAGTGTCAGGGGAAAGAAGCAGGATTTGAGATGACTGAGACAACTCCTTTCACGCTGCTCCTGGATCATGCGCAGCTGGTAGGAGGACACCGTCTGGGAGGGGTCAAGAAGTGGGAGGTGAAATAAGCGACTTCCCTCACGCTGCTCCTGGACCATGCGCAGCTGGTGAGATAATACCATCTGGGAGGGCATGGTGTGACAGGGGACAGGGGCAAGAGGCGTAGAGAGGAAGGACTTGAGTTGATTGAGACAACTGCTCTCACGCTGATCCTGGATCATGCGCACCAGGTGTGAAGATACCATAAAAAAAAAAAAAAAAAAAAAAAAAAAAGGCATGGTGGCATGGCAGGAAGAGAGGGGCCAAACGGAAAGGCTTTGAGCTGCTCCTGGATCATGCGCGGCTGGTGGGAGGACACCATCTGGGAGGGAAGGGCCTGGTGACATGGCAGGGGAGAGGGGCGGCGATGAGGGGCGCTATACGACTGCTTTCATGCTTCTGCTGAGCCAACCACCGGTGGTGGGATGACACAAGCTGACACCCCAGGGACTGGGAGAGAAAAACGACAGGGAGAGCGGCCGCAGGGGAAGGCCATGTTGAGATACACATGTGCATGCATGACCGCCCTAAGATTGATTCAACCCAAGTGCACCTACACCCTCATATGCGATTACACACTGAGCTGACCTTGCTGGAAGACACGAGAGCTGAGGACACAAGGCCCAGGCGATTGAGGGCTTCCAGGCACCTCCTCTGCTCCGCTAGCAGCAGGAGAAGCATGTGCAAATGGAATTTGAAATCCATCATTAGAAGCTGACCTTGCTGGAAGAGACCAGAGCCGAGGACACGAGGCCCAGGCGATTGAGGGCTTCCAGGCACCTCCTCTGCTCCGCTAGCAGCAGGAGAAGCATGTGCAAATGGAATTTGAAATCCATCATTAGAAGCTGACCTTGCTGGAAGAGACCAGAGCCGAGGACACGAGGCCCAGGCGATTGAGGGCTTCCAGGCACCTCCTCTGCTCCGCTAGCAGCAGGAGAAGCATGTGCAAATGGAATTTGAAATCCATCATTAGAAGCTGACCTTGCTGGAAGAGACCAGAGCCGAGGACACGAGGCCCAGGCGATTGAGGGCTTCCAGGCACCTCCTCTGCTCCGCTAGCAGCAGCTTCTCCACCTCTGCCACTGCTGTGTGCATGCGCACCTGAAGGGAGGCGATTTGAACAGCATGAACAGGAGTACAGATGTACGCTAGACAGGTACAGCGTGGTGTAGCACAGCGCAGCGCAGTATAGCACACAGCAGCATGTACATGGCACTCCATACCAACAGCACACACACAGCACCACAAACACACAGCATACCAAGCGTACATGCACAGCGTACCTTGACCACTTGCTCGGTGCGCTTGTGCATGTACTGGGCGACTTGCGGGTCGTCATCTCCCCGGTACTCTATGAGCGATATGCCCAGCTTGTCCACCACCTCCTGTACCTTGGGCAGCTGGGCTGGTGGTATTGAGGAGGTAGAGGGGAGAGCAAGGGGAAAGTGGTAGTGTCAAAGGCAAAACAGTGCGGTACTCTAAGAGCGATATGCCCAGCTTGTCCACCAACCACCTGTACCTTGGGCAGCTGGGCTGGCGATATGGAGAAGAAAGAAGAGCTAACTTCTAAGTTATTGAGGGGAATCGTTCTCGTTTGCAGCATGCCTATAGGCACCGATGGGTGACAAGCCCAGCTTGTCCACCACCTCCTGCACCTTGGGCAGCTGGGCTGGTGGCATTGAGGAGGTAGAGGGGAGAGCAAGGGGAAGTTGGTAGAGTTGACGGCACAGCATAGCAGGGCAGCGGTCCATGAGTGATATGCCCAGCTTTTCCACCACCTCTTGCACCTTGGGCAGCTGGGCTGGTGGCACGGAGAAGGGGGAGGGGAGAGAGGAAAGGGAAGAGGGGAGGAGCGGGGCACAGTGGAGCTGTGCTGCATGACTGATATGCCCAGCTTGTTCCCCACCTCCTGTACCTTGGGCAGCTGGGCTGGAGACACGCAGGAGGGAGAGGGAACGGCAGGAAGAGTGGAGCACGATGGAGCATGCTGCATGACTGATTTCCCAGCTTGCCCAGCTTGCTCCTGGGCAGCTGGGCTGGTGGTGTGGAAAGCAGCAGAACAAAGTAGCAGTGGTGGCAATTCCAGTGAGTTTCTAGTGCTGTGGACAGATAGTGCGAGACCCAGGACGAGGTGTAGTGGGGTTATTAAGGAAACGCCCTGGTCATTCATGAGAACGTGGATGAGAGAAAAGAGTCCAGGCAAGGAGATAAAACGAGGAGAGTGTGCATGGGGAACGTACATCCAGGAGTGGCGGTCAACGCAAGGACTCGAAACGCAACACCGGCTTTGTGGAGCTGCCATGAGGGAGAGCGGCAGCAGGAGAAGCAGGGGCAGGGAGCGGTGGAGCAAGGGGGGGAACAAGACCGGCAAAAAGAGAGGTGAAAAGAAGAGGAGGCTGAGGCACAACGATAACATGGGAATGAGATGAGAGAGATGCACAAGAGAAAAGGATGCGCTGATGAAACGAGAGGAGCTGAGGGGAGCCTGATTGCACGATGCGCATGATGAGAAGGATGCTCAACGGTTCCACCACCCACCCACTCATCCCACTCATCCCACCACCCATACCCCCACCCCACACCACCCCACCGCACACTCCCCTCATCTCACCTCCTCCACCACGCGTGCATACGCATAGTTGCCCACCGACAGTTTTGGGGACTTCAAACCCAGAAGTCCCCCCACCCCACCCCACCGCACACTCCCCTCAGCTCACCTCCTCCACGACGCGTGCATAAGCATAGTTGCCCGTGGCACGGTGGGCCTCGTCCACCACCAGACACACTATGGCCTCACGCGGACAGGCACCTGTGCATGGGGGCATCGGATAATGGAGCATGAGAGCATGGATTCCGGCTCTTTAATTCCAGCTTTGTAGAGTGATGGGCCTCATCCACCACGAGACACAACAGGTGATGAGACATTCTGGCTAAGTTGTGACTCTTTTTGTTTCAGGTCTTCAAACGTGTTGGGGCTTCATCCACCACCACCAGACACAATACACTGTATACAATACAACAACTAACTACCCAGACAAGCAGCTGCACATAAACAGGCGGAATCAACCCACTTGAAAAGTCAGTTCAGGCACAAGATGCCTTGGCTTATCCACAACACATGCACCGTGTGCTGTACCGTGCGTCACCGCATTCCACTGTGAACGTGATTATGCACTGCAACAGTGCATACCGCAAAACGCCCTTTGCACCCCTCACCCCAGTGCACCATGTCCTTTGCACCAGTCACCACTCCGCACCACCACTCACCCCACTGCACCATGTCCTGCAGCAGCACCTGCCCTGTGACAAAGAACACACGCCGCTCCCTCCAATGTTGCGCCCTCTGCTCCCGGGCCATCTGCCCCGTCATGTGCATCGTGTGCTCCTGGGGGGTGGTGGAGGGGGCAGTGAATGAGTATGCTCCTAGGAAAAAAACGGAAATGAGCACCTTTACTCCCTCCAGTGCTGCGCCCGCTGCTCCCGCGCCATCTGCCCTGTCATGTGCATAGAGTGCTCCTAAGAGAAAACGTGAGACGAGAAGGAAATCGAAGGATACGAAACAATGGTTCTGCTCCCTCCCGACCAGTGCTCCCCCAGGGCTTCTACCCTGTCATGTGCCTTGTGTGTTCCTGAACGGAAAATAGAAGTTTGCAGCAAGATAAGTGGAAGAGTAAACGGGGATGCACGAGGGAATGAGAAGCGAAAAACAAAGGACCTTGTCTCGCATGCACATAGACTGGACTGGACTCACTGAATCACCTGAAGGTACCAAACTGACAATCTAGACTACAAACTCATCTTGCCTAAAGCTCGAGATTTAACTCATTAGAAAAATGGGAGGGATGGAGATGATCAGGTAAATGACAATTCTTCTACAGCAACAAGCGGTCTTACCTGTGGGATGGCGACGACGTTATGACATGCTCGGATCTGCTGCAGCACCAAGGGACGCGTGGGAGCCATGAACACGATCTTGCCTGATGATGATGCAGCAGTGCATACATGCATGCATCATAGCCACACGCAGACACACATGCACCGAGACCACATGCGTGCACACATGCACAAAGACCAGCATGCGTGGATGCAAACATATTGATGATGGAGGAATGAAAACAAATGTGAGTGTAGCAACAATGTGATGCGCACTAAGAGAGAGCGAAACCGCCATGGTCACCACCATGAATGGAGCGAAGAACACATCAGCCTCTAAACGCTGCTAAAAGAAATCATTTATAAATTCTGTCAGGCAGTAGTGTGTAGTGGTCAGAATGACTGACCATGCGGGAACCAGCAGTAGCAGTTGACCTTAACAACGGCGTAAATGAGGGTCGCTGTTCTTAAGCCTGATCAACTAGCTGCTGTGAAACGTGTGGTTCGGCAGTGATGCACCCACTGATCAGTGTATGTACTGACCGTGCGGGAACCAGTCTCAGTAATTGACCATGACAACGGCGGCAATGAGGTGAGAATTCAAAGCTGACGACACCAGTGGGTTAGCATAGGTAAATCCACTGACCATTGTGTGCATTTACTGACTGTGCAGGAACCAGCGTTAGTAGTTGACTTTGGCACCGGCGGCAATGAGGGTTCAAAGCTGCTAAAAAGCCTAAACAACAAGCTGCTGTGAAACCTGTGGGTCAGCATTGATGCGTCCACTTATCAGTGTTTTCACTGACCGTGTGGGAACCAGCGGTAGTAATTGGCCATGACAACAGCGGCAATGAGGGTTTAAAGCTGCTATGACGCTTGATTATCTAGCTGATGTTAATTCACTGAAGCACTCACTAATCAGCGTGTGCATTCACGGACCGTGTGGGAACCAGCGGTAGTAATTGGCCATGACAACGGCGGCGATGAGGGTTTTCCCCACGCCTGTTGGAAGGCAGACCAGGGTGTTGGCGAAGAGAGCTGCCTCCGCGATTTCGTACTGGTACTGGCGAAGCTCGCGATTGGCTGCGAGGGAGACAAGAAAAGAGTGTGAATTGCAATAGAGGAGGAAAAATGCTGGCTCGGAAATGTCGCTTTAGGATTACGAGGAAGGTTAACAGACACAAATTAGGGGTAATGGATAGTACAATGCTAACTTTCATGTAGACTGCAGGAGCCTGCTAGTTTACCAACCGCCTATCCCGACGGCAAACCTACAAGGATAAATCCACGTGGCCGCTGCTCCTTCGTCCACGCAATGACTTGATTCTCTCGGACCCTGAGCCTCAAACCGCTGCTTATTCTCTTCCTCGCCACCGAAAACTCTACCTCTTCCTCCACCTCCACCGCCTCCTCCTCCCATGCCGTTTCCTCCATCAAAACCCCTATCAATCGGCTCCGCGAACTCATTCTGATTCAAAGGGTATCCAGTAGTCGTAGCTTTCGCTGCGCCTAAGGGATATGAATACGACGGAACAGTGTCATTGTGAGTTGAAAAGCCTCGAGTGAACACATTCCCATTGGCTCCGTGGCCATTAATATGCGACATAATACTCGCGTGGTTTTCGATCGCGACGCCGAGTGGAGGACCTTCACCCCACTCGCTCATACATTCCAAATAGGTTGCATAACTAGGCCACGCGGAAGCTTATGCTTCAAGAGCTCTTCAAAGGTGAACCTAATCGCCTACATGGTAAAAAATAAAGCGGATAAATTAGTCGTTTGGTGCGTTCATGGACTTCCAAAATCCTACGACACCTAGGATCCTACCACTGGCAAGTCCTGGCCCTTGCGTCAGGCTGACGCTCAGAGACGGCTTTGTGAAAGTGGGATGTGGATTGTCGATAAAACCGAGACCTCGGGAATAGCGAATGTGCGTGTGGTTCTGTTACGCCCCTTGGCTTAAATCCGCTAAAGAATAGCGGGGTCGACTAAGTCTAGGATTTTTTTTTTTTTTTTTTTTGGTAATTGCTTTATGTACACCGATAGAACAAGCATACATAAACAATAACAGTCGTAACTGCGCATGAGGGGAAGCCACGTGGCTGCCCCAGGTGCGGCATCTAAAGAGGTTGGCGAGTCATCCTCGGTGCTAGCCAGATGTTTGAGAAAGCTTCCGTCCACGTCCACGACTTGCAACTCATGTCCCTGATCCGAAACAGTAACTTGTTCTCATTCTCCAACGCACGGCGGAATTTCCCCTCGTGTTGTGTACCCCGACGCTTCTTCCACTCCGCGTCCCTTGATCTCGTGTAGATACGTGCGTGTAGGCGGAAAGCGGCTTCAACTCGGCAGAGTTCCTGCCTCGTCCGAAACTTCTTTCCCCGGAACACAGCGTCACACCGCTCCACCCACAGTTGGTGAAGTGCAATGGATGTAAGCGTGGCTTCTGGAAAAGCTGTACTGGACCCCGCCTTTCGGAACAACAGGTCACCCAATGATGACACTGCCCGTAAACTGTTCATCATGCGGAGAGACTTCAACAACGTCGACATCACCACCTGAATCTTAGGGCAGCTGTATAAATAGTGCTCAAGCGTCTCCTCTCCCCCACAGTACAGGCAGATCGGCTTGCTGCTCAGAAAAGCCACCCGCTCCCCCACTTGGAGATTCAGGTTATGGATCCGCAGCAGAACGTCCCTTGGCCTACTCGGTGTGACCAAGGAGTCACAGATGGCGATAGTCCTCTTCCAGTTAATCTGCCCGTTCCACCTGCCCTTCCACAACTGCTGCTTCGCCGACGGTTTTTGCCCCTCCCTCCAGAGCAGCTTCAACCGCTTCATGGGCGCAATCCCTCCGTTTTCGAAAATGGGGAAGTCAATGAGCTTGCGCCCTGCAGAGTGAAAAACCCTCCTCCCCCCCGCGGGGTTAGACGGTTGGGGGGGTGCGCTGAGCAGCAGATCCTTCCACAACTGAGGCGCAGCTTCAAACGCCCTCCTTGCCAGACTGGCTGCTCCCTTTCCGCCGAGCTCTTTTTCCAGGGTGATTGCGTCCTTTAGCTCAGGAGCCCCGCTACCGCCATGCTTGATCAAGTCACTGAGACGCTTCTCCCACAGCGGCTTTGCATCTTTTTGACCTCCCACCGGCGTAGTTCCGTTAAGCAGGAGCCGCCTGTTAAACACGATCCGCTCCCCTTCCACAGCCTCTCTGGAAACCGCCTCAGGGAGGACGCCGAGCGGTGTTTTCATGAAATTTTCACACGAGACTTTCCAGCGCGCACTTTTCCCCTCCCAGTGCTTCAGCAGCTTCTCATGGGCAAAGAAGGTCTCGATGCCCATGGGTAGATCCGCGGCCCGCAGCATAAGATGTTTCTTCAGCTGATTGGTCTCCAACACTAACAGCCCCACCCTTCTTGCCGTGAGACACGCCAAAATCATCTCCGGGTCATGTGTGAATTAAGAAAAACAGGAATGAGAATGACTAAGTGAAAGTTGGGTACAAGAAGCAAACCCTAGAAAACTGTACCCCATATGTGCTACCCCACTCTAGCCTACAGTAGCTATGTCATATAAATCTGACACACCCCCATAGGCAAAGTGGGGGAGAACAAGGGGTCACAAGACCAGTCAAGCAAAGCAAAGCAAAAAACAAGCTCAGGGTGGATCACAAAGTCACCACACATTCCGAGCACAAGTTCAAGGCCACAAGGCCAGTTCACAAGCAGGAGTACACATATATATAAAAAAAGGCTAGACAAACAAGAGCAGGTATATATATATGTAACAGTACAAGCAAGGTCAAGAGGTGAGCAAGTGAGGCAAGGTAGGCACAAGGCCCAGCTGAGTACAGAAGCGCTGATGGTCACAAGGCGCAAGTGCCTTGGTGAAGATATCAGCAGTGTTGGCCTCAGAGGCCACGTACGCAAGACGCAGCTGACCACGCTGCTGCAGCTCACGAGCAAGAAAGTAGCGGAGAGCAATGTGCTTCGTTCTGTGCTCCAGTCGCTGCTCCCGACACAAGGCCAGCATGGCCTTGTTGTCTACGTACAGCACTGGAGGAGAACGAGGCAACTCTCCGAGGTCAGTCAGCAGGTAGGTGAGCCAGCGAAGCTCCTGTGCAGCCATGGCTCCTGCGTAGATCTCAGCCTCACAACTGGAGCCGAGAACAGAAGACGAGCGAGTAGCCCGCCACGAAACAGAGCCGGAACCAAGGCTGAAGGTGTAACCCTGTGACGACCGCTGCGTAGCCTGGTCGTCAGCCCAAGAAGCGTCTGCGTGCCCAGTAAGGACCACTGGACTCTGCCCTCCAAGCATAAGCCCCATGCCCGACGTACTGCACAAGTAGCGCAACACCCTCTTCGCTGCAGCCATGTGCTCCGGTCTGTGTCTCCCAGGAGCAACATAGCGTGCAAGAATGCTAAGAGGGTATGCAAGGTCAGGTCGTGTGCAGGTCATCAGGTACATGAGGCAGCCAACCAGCTCTGGGTACGGGCCACTCGACTCTACGGACTCATCCGAAGGCAGAGCTGAGAGCGAGTGGCGAGTAGGCAGAGGAGTGGCCTGAGGCGAGGAGTACGTGAAGCCGAAGCGCTGGAGGACCTGCTGCACCATGTGTGACTGAGTCAGGGTAATGGTGCGGCGTGCTCTGTCCCGAGTGATCTGCAAGCCAAGGTAGCTGCGCAGTTCACCCAGGTCAGTGCACGTGTGTCTCTTCTGCAGCTCGGACTTCACGTGGGCTAGTCCAGCAGTGTCAGCTGTGGCAAAGACCAAGTCGTCGACGTACACGAGGATGTAGAACGGCGGCAAAGAAGTGTCGGTGCGCAGAAACAGCGACGGGTCGGCAGTAGAGGGAGCAAACCCAAGA